TCATTTCAAAGCACCCCTGCTTTGTAAACATCTAAGGAGCAGTATTCCTAGCGCATAGCTATGAAGGTGAGCCCAAGGAAAGCTACCTGAATAAGGACATGGCGTGCACCAACACCCCTGCCTTGGGTATTGATCCTGGAGTAAATAAATAGAGGGAGAGGCAGGAAGACATGCACACAAAAAAGACGCCTTGAATTTGCAAGTTATATGGTGGGGTCAGATCCAAAGAGCACCAGGCTCTGAGCTGCATGCAACCCACTGTGCCCTAATGCTTTTGGAGCAGGCCTTACAAACCGAGCGGCCACTGTAAGGATTCAAGAGAGCCTATTTCCTCATTTTCGCACTGCGAAGAGTGCTCTGGGAGATCACAGAGCAGGAATATATGGAGTTAGAATCCCTTTCAGAGAGCAAATTCCTTTTGTGAAATTGGTGCTCAATTTAGCTGTCACTGCTGAAAGGGAAAAAGATGCAGAAGCAACTTTTAAGTCCACCAGCCACATCCCTTTAAGCAATCTGTGCTGTGCCAACCAGTTTTATAAAACTCTGTATTTCATCTAAACTCCATTTAAGTCTAAATAATATGAATGTCCTGCTACTGTACTTCCCTTCTCACTGCTGATAATTGCCAAGTTATTTCTGCTATAAACAAGGCAGTGCTCTTCTCTCTCTCTGCCTTATCATACCTGGTCCCAGAGCAGAAAGCTGTTAAGGACATGTTTACTTTGAAACATACCACCACGCTGCACTGAAGTCCACAAGACTGTTTGAATTCCTGAGTGCCTTCCTGGATCGAGATGTCAGGATCTTGCAAGGCAGTGTTTATAACTCCGCGATTAATTCAGTGCTGACCAAAGGGTGACCTCTGAAAATTTGTAAACTTGGTGTCCCTGAACAGAAGATGAGGAAAAGTAGGGGTGGAAACCACTGAGTGGGGAATGATCATCATTTCCCACTGAACCCCTTCAGTAAGTAATATGGCCCTGGCTGGTTAGCACAGCATGGAGCTGGGTTCCCTGCTGTGCTGCTGCTTCCACCGGTGGCTAGGGGAAGTCAGGGAGGGATGCCAAGCAGGGCTGCTGAATGTGGCAGGAGCATCTTTCTTTTGCATGAGTGTTGCACCTCTAAAGCCAACACTTAGCTCAAACTCTTCCTTCAGGTGCCCGTGCCTTCAGGTTGTCTGTGCTTAAGAGAACGTGCATGCACATCTGAAGCGAAAATGCTGGCCCAGTGCATCTTATTTATGAATATTTACAGCCATCAGCACAATTCCACAGACAATCTAATCTCAAGCAGCTTTGAAATTCAGCGCATTTCAGAGCAGCGTTTCCCGTCAGAAACAGAACTGCGCGCTCTGATTTGTAGAAAGGATTTCTCTTCCTCTTAACAAAAAAAAAAAAAAAAAAAAAAAAGCTCCCACTTTTCTCAGCACAGAATTTATATTGTTATTAAATGAAATGTATTATCATATTTTAACATTTTAGGCTGTCTTTTACAGGATTTCTAAAACGGCTCCCCATTAATCTCCTGCAATCCATTTGACAGATATCTCAAAGCTACTTGATATCACAGCTACTTTAAGGTATGATAGAGTTTTCCTTAGCAACAGGTTGTAATTTCAGCCAGCCTGGTAAATGTGAGGTCAGAAGCTGGTTGTCGCAAACCTAGGAGATTAAAATATACTGCACATCTTTGCTTCCTCTTGAAATACCATCCTGCATCTTGGAGGAGCAAAAGTAAATGCCGGGGTTACCGGGGGACAGCTTTTGTCCACTTGGAATGGCTCGTTTAATTAAGCATATTTTGTGTTTATTACAGAGGCATTCACGTTTGGCCAAACTGGCGTTAAAAGCAGCCTTCACGTGGTTCAGGCACTTCAGATGCAGATTTAGTTTCGAGCCCTCACCCCAGCAAGTATCAGTTACCTCTCCGGGTCACCGGGGACGGAGCTGCTGGAGCAGCAGTGTTGCCTGAAGAGGGAAAGGGATTTGTAGCAGCCCTCCTGACCCCAGCAGGCATCTGAGCTGCAGGAGACAACCAGAAAACTTTCTCCTGGAAGCTGAACCTAGGAACCGTGGGCACATAGACTGGAGGGCTACCAGAGGCCACAGCTTCAGTAAGTGGTTGGCCGGGGCCAGGTCAGCGTGATCCAAAACACTGGGGGTGTTTTGTTAACTCCCAAACTTAGTGGAGTTGGCTATGGTGGTGACAGAAGGCAGTATATTATGGCTGTGGCAACAGTTTTCAGCTCTGTGAATGGTGAGGTGAGCATGTGGAGGAGACGCTCAGCCAGCTGCTGCATAAAGTCCCATTCTTCACCTCCTTTGAAGGGGAAATGGACGAAGGTTTGTTGGTTTTTTTATATGTACCACTGATGGTAGTGTAAGACTCATGTTTATTCCAGCTCTGTTTATGGGATGTGCTGCGTAAAGGGTGATGAGGACGTATTTCCAGGCACCACCCAACTTCCTATCTTCTCCTTCCCTTCCCTATTTGTGTTCTTCTCTTGGATTGTTTCATGCTCATCTGTAGTTTTATAACAAAACGATCCTTCGCCCAGCTCTCTGCATGTTGCCTCTGGGAAGACAAGACACATCAGGAAGCCAAAAGTTCAGGAGACATCAATGCGTTGGAAGTAGGTCTCTATCCTCACACGTTGTGTCACGGGGCTGGGTGAGCTTGCCCTGCACCTGCTGGTGTACCAATTGGGCTGTGACCGTCCGAGCGGAGCGGGGCCCAAGCAGGATTCAGCTGCAAGCTGGGATGGGATGAATTATTGTAAATAACTGAGCTGAGCCATTCAAAATAAGTTGCTAATGTAAGCAAGATTAACTTGATGTGCTGCCTGAAATGAGATATTAGAGATGATAGGGAGAGAGAGAAAACTTTTCATTTAGATGGAAACAGGACTGATTAATTAAGCAGTAACGAACAAGAAAGCTTGCCTTGAATTACTATGAGGCTTGCAGTGCTAATTTAACACAAAGTACAGCTCCCAATTTGTTATTAAATTAAAATGGCTTTTAAAATTGTTTACTTTTTTTTTTTCTTATCTGCTTCTGTGTGGCAAAATGATTATTCTGGCTAGTTAGAGAAACCAATCAGAGCAACAGAAAGTGCAGGTTGAAGGGGGAAAAGATTGTCCTGTTGTGTAATTAAGAAATATACACTAATATCCACGACATCATGAAATAAGCACTTCAAAGTAGCATGTGTGCTCTGTGTTGCATATTAAACTAAACAATTAGCATGCTAACAAGCTGCTCTGGACATACAGGGAGAAAGCATCACACTTAAGGATGTAACTGCTTTTTGCTTCTTTTTTTTTTTTTTTGAGTCTAAAGATCTGTTCACCTGACTGACAAGTATTGATAAGGAGTAGAGAAGAAACGTTTCTCTTTCTTCTGCCTTTCCTCTTTCTTGTGATTTTCAGAATAGTTTTAATTTGGCAGACTTTGTGGTTACCCCGTACAAGGGAACTTTTGCTACCCCTATCAAAGTGTGTGATGGAAATGTGAAACACCGTGTGTGAGAGATTATGTGAAACAACAAGGGGAAGAACCTTCCAGTGACTTTGCTTTCTCAATCTCAGACAAGTTTTACTCTGACAGGAATGATTCCATGTAATTTATCATAGGATAGCTCAACAGTAGCAATTTGTCATCCATTGTGATGTAATTTGATGGGTTCATTTCTTAAGTGAATTATGGATTATGGATTACCTCTGTATATCAACAACAGAGCCGTATCTTCTATGTAAATATTCCCTCAACTTTTTCTTCCTCTTCCAATCCATTTTCCGTCATACAGAGATGGCTTCTCTTCCATCTAATCTTTCTACTAATAAGGTGTTTAATAATTGAGCAGCCTAAAAAATGAGCATATTTCAAAGGAGTTGGTATCAATAGTAGTATAAGAGCCTCGGGCTACAAAAATGTGGATGAAGCTACCAAAGTTTTAGAGTCAGGATCCCAACTGTCTTTGTGCTTCAGGCAGCTATTTTATTAAAGTTGGTATTAAACAACACCGCCTAGGGTCTGATTAACAATTTATGACTTCCTAAGAAGGATTAGCACAAGCCTATCATTTTTATATTTAAATCTTAATTTGCATCTAAGAGAAACCTTACCCAGGTTTACATTTTCATTATTTATTATTTTTATTATTACCATTGCTGGTTCAGAAACATTGCTTGTGTGAGCACCAGTTTGTTGTACTGATCTTTTCGTGCCTCATCCCCTCACACACGTCAGAGGAAGAGCTGGCCTCCTGTGTCATGTGATGGGTCTCATCTTGCAAAATGATGGATTTTGCCTCTTGCTGGGCTCATTTGCTTTTCACTGCTTTTCCTGAAGTCCATTGGGATGGAAGGGATTGGCACTTGGTAGAGTTAGGCTGAGATCTGCAAGCCTAAGAGCTGAACGTTGTCCAGCTAATGCTACGTTAGAGGGTGAAATCCAGAGATACACGACTGAGGCTTGCCTGACATACCTTCTCAGAGAGAAGAATTTTCTTTTTTGACATTTATCTGATGCAACTAGTTGTATCTCTTTCTCAGTGATGTTTTTTGATGAGCCTCTCTGCCCTGCTTATTAGGTTACTGCTGGGCAGCCTCTGCTGGGAGAGAAGGCAGGGGGTGATCCTGCTGCTGTGTTCTGGGAAGCAGTGGAGCAGGAGCTGTCGATTTCTGCTGTAACAGAGGCAGCCCAGGAAGGAGGATGCCACCAGGTGGAAGGGAGTACATACCAGTATCTCTGCTGGCCAGACTTTGCTCACAAAGGCAGGCCAAAGACATGCACCTTAGTGGAACACAGTGGAATTCACTCCACCGCAGGCGAGGCTATTCTTATTTATTTATTTATTTTAATGTTCAAAGAGAAAATAACAACAGCAGTCTGTTCTGTTATCTTTCTATTTTCAAATTGACCTAATGTTCCCTTTGACTTTTTCCTCTCCAGGTTCAGCTGCTTCAGGAAATTGTATGGCATATCTTCTTCTTTTTCTTTTTTTTCTTTTTTTTCCCCCTCTGTTTATTTCCATTTCTGTTACTCTTCAGCGGACTTAACACTCATTTCACCAAGGGTTAGATGTGGTGGTCATAGCCTGTAGAGCTAAGGGAAAAGATTGTCAACTAGGGGCTACGAGCTCCACTGGTTCACAGCAAGGAAGAAGTGATTCTTGTCCTCTTGAGTTTCCCTAGTCAGTAAGACACTAAAAGGCTCAAAAGAAATGCTGATTATTTAAGCATCTTCATTGCTTTATTTGAACTCTCAACATCTCCATGGCTTTTCATTTAATCGATAGCTTAGTTTTTGTCTTGGACTCAAGGGCTTTAAGCTTTAAAATACTGGAGTCATAATCTGAAAAGTGCTGGTTCTTCAGAGCAAAAACAAGCACTAACACATTCAGAGGAAGATCTCTCATATGCCTGGCTTTTCAGGTTGTGACAAACTAACTTTCAGTTTTAGGGCTGTATTCACATTTCAAGGTGTTAGGAGAAGTGCAATCAGAACATTTTCCTATGGCGCTTGCATTCAGCATGTGCTTGTGGGCCATTACTGTCAGTGGGATTTAAGCAAATGCTCTAAAGATTGTGCTGAATCAGGGACTAAGCAGTATCTGTGAGGAGTAAGTCCCTTAGATTCGGGATTAGTGACACTCAAGGTTTCTATCCTTCATTTCTGGCTGAAATTTTAACTAGTCACATTCTCAGTCCAAAGAGGACAAATGAATCTTATGCCTTTGACTTCTGGGGAGCTGTAATCATAAACACGAACTGAAAAACTGGTCCAAGAAAGCAAAAGAAAATCCATAAAAAAATATCAACAGTGGACATGCCCAGGAACAGAGAGCAGTGAGCTCCCTTCACTCTCTCCCATGAAAAATCCTCAACCATGCAGCCCAAGAGCAGAAGCAATGTCATGGGACTTCTGTGGGCAGTGACACAGCAAACAGCATGAGCAAACAGTTCATACTTAATCTGTGAAATTAATTATTTATCCAAAGTATTCTACAACTACATATTATTATTTATTGGTCTTACATTAGTCCCCACAGTTCTTAATTGCATGAAGCACTGCACTAACCTAATAGAGTCCCAGCTGGCAAATATGTTCGGAGAAATCAGTCTTGGTTGTAGGAGTATTTGACCAAACTGTGGCTAGCTTTGCAGCAAATCATATTAGAACAGAGTGGCTAAGTGAGTTCTACCCTGTTATAGATGTGTAAATTAAACGTGTCAAATATGCTTTTGTCCAATTAAAGCACATTTATTAAAAAAAAAAAAAAAAAAAAAAAGAAAGAAAGAGCTGAATGCTTAGTATATCATTTATATATATTATATATATTATGTGCTTAGTATATGTGAACCCTGTAATCACTGGAATGATTTCAAAGTCTTCTGTGCATAGAGTTTTCAGGTAAGATCAATGTGATTTTTACTCACAAAGACGGCTTCTTGGTTCCCGTACATGAATCAGACATGAAAAAAATGCAAGACATTGAAAGTAACACACAATAATATCTTACATGAAGAAGCCTCAGTGGTCTTCTGGACAAATTCTGCCCTGTTTCACACATCTTTCTACTGTATTCACAGATGGAACTGTGTCCAGAAAAAAAAAAGAAAAAAAAAAGAAAAAAAAGAAAAAAAAAAAGCCCTTTGCTGTTTTATTTTGTTAATCGTCATTCCCCAGAGTGTATAAAACCCTATTTCATTCCTGTTGTCTGTGTGCACAGTCTGAATTAGACAGTAAAATGTCCAACCTCAGTCAGTAGGTATTTTATGGGTATACTGGGTTGCTTTCCACAGTAACAAAGTTTTGTGGGAAATGTTGACTTTGCTCTATGTCAATCTGCAGTAGAATGGCACAGTTTGCAGTCACAGACATGGTGTTTGGGTCAAAAGAACTGCTAGATGAAAAAAAAAAAAAAAAAAAAAAAAAGGGAATGTTTCTTTTATACACCTCTCTAAATGTCTACTTTTAGATGCTGATTACTAATGAAGTTCTACCACACACCAGTGCACTTAAATTTTTCTCATGTGGATGTCATTTCCAGGAGAACATGTGGTTATCAGCCTGTGGTGGAGTGTCAGCTGGCCTGAATCCAAACCATAAAGTCAAATACCTTCAGACAATGAAGGTGTTTGGAGACTTGAACAGACGTCCATGTTGTGCAAGTGATTTCATCTTGACATGAATGAATGAATGAATGAATGAGGGAAATGCATGAAGTAGGTGACCTCTTAACATCTCCTCCTACCTTATTTTCTGAATCTCTTCAGAATGAGCATGGAGACAGCCCTGCATCCACACCCCAGCTTTAAATGGGTTACCGATACCCAGCTCTGCACTTTGCAGATTGAGTCTTTCTGCTGCTTCAAACCAGCTCTGAAATGTGTCCCTTCAGGTTAGCTTGCATAAACATAAAACCCCAAATTAGCATTGCAAGCAGTCATTGCCCTCAAAAACCAGTAGTTTGGCTGTGTTCAGTACATATTTACCATCTGCTAATGCATTTAAAAAGACCAAAAAAAACCCAAACCAATCTGGGCCAAGTCCTTAATTTGAGTAAATCCACGTGTATCTCAAGTAACTTTAAGGAACTGTCATCACCTTTACTATCTGATGAATTAGCCTCTGTGACTACAAGGCAGTGGATGCTTTGGAGCACTTGTGCTATGTGCTGCTTCTGCCTGACTGAACGGATGCCAAAGGCAGGAGTACATTTTCATGGAGGCAGCCTTCTGGTGGCTGTCTGCTGTGCAGAACAGGGTGCATACCTTCAAACTGCAAGCTTTCTGTCCTCCCGAGTGCTTGGCTCTGGACACAACTCACATACCTTGCAATATAAATACTCAGCTTTGCTTTCTAAGCTCTAACCCTGACCATGCAAAGCCAGAAGCATGGATGCTATGCTAAAAATAGGAGGCTGAACCCTAGGTCCTGCAGAAATGATCTCTTTAAAAGCCCTAAGCAAAGAGAGAAAAGGATGCGGAAGCATCTCTTACCAGAAGGGAAATTTTGATTGTGCGATTTTACCTCTATTAGGAAAAACAAAACAAAACAACAACAAACAGTTCTTTTGGGCACAGGAGTTTGCATTTTGACCTGTGTTCTGCTCAGGATGAGGAGCGTGTGACAGCCTGGCTCATGGTGCACGATTACCATGCAGGCCACTGGCACTTGAAAACAAAACAGGACTGTCAAGGAAAGAAATGTAAGATGAGACTGGTGGACCATATTAAATGGATTTATAAAGAATGTATTTCTTTCTAACAGCCTTTAAAATGCTTTCTTGCCTCTCTTTCTCTCTCTTTCTTTTTCCTTCCTTCCTTCCTTCCTTCCTTCCTTCCTTCCTTCCTTCCTTCCTTCCTTCCTTCCTTCCTTCCTTCCTTCCTTCCTTCCTTCCTTCCTTCCTTCCTTCCTTCCTTCCTTCAAAAAGAAAGAGAGACTGATAGCATTTGTCCTTTCCCCTCAGTGCTGTGGTTTAGTAGATGCCTCTGGGAGAGGGCTACATGGGAACAGCACAGAACACTCTCCAAAAGCTTTTAACTAATGCTATTTGAAAAACATAATTCAGTGACAGTGTTTAAAAGGCCTTGCAAGAGAAATTTTGCGTCTTCACTTCGCGGCTCACCCTCACATACCTGTCTCTTCCAATAAAACTATTACTCTGCCACTGGGAGCACCTGGCTTGCTGGCTGGTATCACACATCTTTCAGTATGTTCATATCAACATAGCTGGGATACCTCGGAGGATTGGCAAGCAAATGGGTTTTGAAAGCCCTCTACCTTCAAGGCCCCTGCTCAAAACCCAGCTAGAACAGATGCCAGCAGTCAAAACACCATCAGTACCACCTAATGGCTCTTCAGAGGACTGTGTAAGCAAAACACGTAGTTTCATTCCCTTTCATAGAGGGAAAATAAATAGTGGGGGTTGTATTAACAGCATAATCTCTTGAGACCTTCAGTGGCACTGGCCCATGAGCCAGTGGCAGAAGTGGCAGGGAGAGCAGCACTGGTAGCCAGCAGCCAGGCACGGTCCCTGCAGAACAGGTGTGAGGCTCCTTGTCGAGCTGCAGAACCTTTCTTTGCTGCTGTTTATCCACTATCTGTTCTCTGGATAAATAAAGGTCTTCAGCCTCCACAGCTGTCAAGTGTCTACACTGCAGAAGGACTGCATCAGTAACAAGATTGAAAAAAAAAAAAAGAAAAAGAATAAATGCTCATCCCAGAGTAACTCATCTGCCATGGAGTCAGGCAAAGAAAGAATTCCTGAACCTCTGGACCCCTGTACAACGCACTGAGTTACTCAGAGAGGCCATAGCTTTTGTTTTCTCATATCTGCAGAGAGCTACAGGCAGGGCAGCCTCTTATCTCAGGATGGAATTAACTTTTCGCACACTCCAGTCATGCAGTGAAAGATCTGCAGTGATATACCCGATACATTCTGGCCACGTGCTTAAATTTTAAAACCTTGACTTGTGATATCTCCTGTGATGGAGGGGCAACAGAAAAGAGGGGACCGCATACATCCACAGTATTGCAACTACCCACTAGAGAATAGTTTCTGAAAAGGAACCGGATAACTTAAGCTTGAAGTATCAGTGTCCTTCTTTTCATAATTCTTACTCATGCTGAGTTCAATTTTTTTTTTTTTTTTTACAGAGTATTGTATCACTAGCTTTTAAGGTCTTTGTACCCTGGAGCAGATCATTTGCTCAATTACAGTGGAGAAGTTATTTCATGAAGCCAGTGATAACTCACTTAGATAGGAGTTTGCAGACCTGCACACTGGGGTTTGCAGAATCTGTATTTATGCTTTGTAGATGTGCACCTTAACAGAAACATAAGCTTGCAAAAGAGACCATGTGGCAAACGTTCATAAACAGAATGGGTTTTATCCTCTTAGGAATAGATGTATACGAATCTAAAATGCATATAGCTGTTCATCTCACACAGACACCTCTTTCTTCCACTGAAGTCTAGGTTAGACATGAAATTCAGCCTGAAGTTTAATTTCATAAGACAGCCAAATCAGTATACCTCCAAGGGAAAAACAAAACAGAAACATGAAAATTATAACACCTGAGGACATGATCTAGTTTTCTGTCATTTAGACAGTCTGGTCAAATGACAGGACCTACACTCACTCTTATTTACATGGAAATGTTGCTCTTCCCTCTCCAGTGGAGAATCCTGGCAGCATTTTCAATGCAATCCCATGAGTTTGAGAAGCTGAGATTTTACCTGCAGATTTTAATGAAGTTGTTCTCAGCTGATGTGAGTGGTGGCAACGAATCAGACCCTTATATTTTAATTTTTGGTGGTGTTTGTTTCATTTCCAAATGCCCTGCATGCACCATTTCTTATTGTCCACTCATTTTTCTTAAAGCTCTGACTTGGTAAGATAAAGATATTATTATACAGGGATTTTAATTTTCCCTAAAAAAAAAGTAAAAATTCTAACTCTTGGATATAAAGAAAGCTTTGAAAGCATAAACTCTTCTGAGGGGAAAAGATAAAAGAATAATCATCTTAGCTATTTTCAAGTCAATCCAACTCAAGATTTATTTGGAGACGTGGGATTGGCAATACAGTTAATTTAATCGCAATAATTTATTACTTTCTCATTAACTAGTAATTTATTAAATCACCAGAAAACTTACCTCTCAGCTTTCTGGAGCAAGGCAGATTTCAGGGCTCTATCTCCCTGTTCCTGGGGTCTCACTGGCTTCATCCAGGTATAATATGGCCAAAGACATGCTGACTCCTTGGTCGCAAGCAGCTAAATAAACCAGAAATGTATTAAGTAAAGGTGAATGGTAATGACTTAGCACTTACAGTGTTCCTTCGTGTCCAAGTGCTTCGCAAGCAGAAACTAATTACGATACATTCTGTAGTAATGGTTCAGAGAGATACTAAATTGTGTTCTTACTGTAATAAATGGCTGGGCTGGGGTGGGAAATCACTAGATTACATGACAGAAGGCAGCAGCTTTAGGACAATACCTGTGTAACCTCATGCACCCAGGTCCCTCACTGGAGACAGCACACATCTAGACTTCTGCACAAACACCTTGCTGTTTTTTTGGGGGGCGAGGTTTGCAGCTTGTCCATATTGTCCTTGCTTCAGCTCTACTGGTGCAAAAAGGCTGCAGGGCTGCCAGAACTTCTGCTGTTGTCTGTTCATGACCAGACACAGAAGAAGGGCTGGCAAAACACTTCTTAACTGCCACGGGTTTAAAGAAAGATGACTAACCCCTAAAGCATTTTCTGTTGAATATTGCAGAACAAGAAAGAAAAAAAAATCTCCTCTTTGCTGCTCTGCTGTAGCAGTCATCTTGTGTTTTCTCCTTGAAGTATGTGATGCCACAAAAAATTAATTACTTTAGCAAAAAGAAATAGGATTGTAGGGGAAAAAAAAGATTTGTAATATTATCCTGATTATAGCTACAGGTAAGAGATAATCTCCTGCTTTCGCTTGTGCAGGAAAAGATACTTTGTCTTAGGAACTTACTCAAAAAAATCCATTTTTTATGAGGTGTCTAGCTATAAAGAAAAGGAAAAGCATCATCTGTGGACTGCTGCATTTACTTATTTCTACAAAAACTTACAGGGGATAATTCACATTTTAATGTCTTGTAGCTTATTAGCTTCAGCCAATACCCCTTTCCAGGAATCCAGTTTGCTGCATGGTGGTGGCAAAAGCTCTGTAAGAGGCAAATTAATTGTGTAGGTTGTGCTTGTGCCTTGCTGAACTGAGCTCCCTCTGGACTCAGTGGGGCTGCCACAGAGCTGCTCCTCGGGACTGCCAGGACGCCGAGACTCAATCTCTTTAAAACAGAATCGTTCTGGATGAGAGGGAGCTATTAACCAACAAAGTTTGAGACATTAAATGAACTTTGGAAACGAGCAGCTCATTCTGTTGATTTGGCCAAGCTCCCACACAACTAAAGTTCATGGCATTTCTGAGCTTGCCCAGCACACATCATTGAAGGTAATTTTGGCTGAAGCGATCTTACGCGGCTTTTCCTTGGGAGGAATGGCATACAGACCAGCTTCCCTCTCCTCCTTCAGGCAGAAGAGTTCGTAAAAAGATATGTAGCTAATAAATGGCAGTGGTGGAAACCCTAGTTACTGGCAATGTTCAGGGTTATGGAACAACCCCCACCTCAACTTTAGTTTCTCAACATTAAAAATTTATAGTGAAATACCAGCCCTGTAAAATCCATTGATTACTTGTTCTAATGCAAGAGAGAGGGCATTTCTGAACCTCTTCAATGTTTATAATACAGATTTAATGACGGTGGATGCTGCCAGTTTCGTGGATGATAACAACCTGGGTTGTGTTCATTCGGCTGGTCAATGCGTAAGTGGCATTTGGTGGCGGTTTCCCCAGGCTAAGCTGATGAACACCTTTTTTCTCCTCTCAGCTTTCTAAAAATTAAGTGTAATTCAACCCTTGTGAAACTTAGCCTGCAGATTACAAGACAGCCATAATTTCAGTTGGTGCTGATTTAAAGAGGGGATTATTCTTTTGTAAGAAATGCAAAATAAAAATTTGTTCCTTTCTTTTCTCCTCAACCTACTCTACATTCAGTAAATCCTATAAGGAGAATTCTGAAAGCAATTTTTACAGGTTTTAAAATGCAATTTTACAACAGACAGACATGGTCATCCCTTCCCCTCTTCCTCACCGCCCCCCCCTTTTTTTTTGGCAAAACCTTCGTATCACTTTGACCTAAGCTTTCATGGTTAGTAAAGCACCAAAAACATGGAAGATATAAGATTATTGGTAGAGTTCGCATAGCCCATGAGGTATTTAACTAGAAGAGAGAGTTTATTTTCTAAAATGCTGTCTTAAGAAAACAATAGCAAACAGAAGGTGTTTACACTCAGAAGACTAGGGTAAAGCATTTATCAGAAGAAAAGCAACAACACAGGGCTGAAAACAAACAAAGAAAAAAAAATCCCCAGCTATCCAAATAGGCTGTGGAAAATGGGAATGATTAAAAAAAAGTCTCTGATCAAAAAAACATCTGCATGCTAATCCTGGTGTTTTCAAGTGGAACAACAGAGTAAGAAGAAAAAAAAAAACACACATACATTTAAGAAGAAATATGAGAAGCAAACAAAAAATAATTATGAATGGAAAAAATACATGAACAAGTTAGAAAAATATACAGAAAGAAACAGATTGAATCTGCGTGTTCTTTCACAATGGAGCTTTTGCTGGTGTGACTGCATATTCAGCAGTGTGAATATTATAATTAAAGAATGTCAGCTCAAGCAAAATGTTTTAAAACCTTCCTGTTAATAAACAGATAAACTGCTTAAAAGTACTGATTATTTTAGGAAAAAGTGAAGTGCTGGATTTTCGTGCCTCGATTCCTTTCATCTGATACAACCCATTTAGATAGCAGATGTCTCTCCCAGGCGGTGTTTGATAGCAGTGCTGTTGATTTCGATACCAAGGTGATGAGAATATCTTCACGGGGCGGTTTGGCACCATGCCACAGATCCCAGCGCTTGCTGGTTCCTGTGCCAGGGTCCAGCGCTGCGCTGGGCAGGGGTCCCACCACAGCAGCCGAGCAGCACCAGCCCCGTGCCACCTCTGGGCTGATGAACGCTGCCTATCAGCAGGATGAATTAGGCACCGTGCGGAGCGGTGCTGGGGCAGCAGCTGGGAGGGCTGGGGGCTCTGCACGTTGCAGCCCGCTGCACAGCCCCGTGCTGCAGACAGAGCTTGACCCCCAGTGAGGGCAGGCAGCAAGCACTGAGCGCTGCTTTACGCCAGGCTTGGACCCCAGCAGGAGCTCAGGAGACAGCTCTCGAGCGCTGTCAAACCTGAGTGCTAGTTCAAGGCAAAGCTCCTTCTTCTCTGGTGTTTGGAAAAAAAAAAATCTCATTGAATTGCAACTAAACTTGCTGCTGCTTCTTGTAACAGCAAGACAAAGTCATCGGTATATTTAATAACAGTTGCAGTGGACTCCAGTTAGACCAGATGATCGCAATCCTGCAAATACTTATGCATGGGTGTATTTTTAGGGACACAAGTAGTCTCAAGCACTTACATGTGTAGCCACTCTGAGAATTTTGCTTATCATTCAGAAACGCTTAAGGAAGATCCTATCATTGCGTGTAATGATCTTACGGAAGATTGTTACAACATACCTTGAAAACAACTCCTTTTTAGGTCTCTTTAAGATACTGTTCCAGCACAAATAACTCAAAGTTGGTTGAACCGTGAAAAATGGCAGCTGAAAAATAACCGTTGCTGTATATATTCATCCTGGGCTCCCAGGAAAACATTTGTCATTTGGAAAGCCACTCTGAGCTTGTTTTTTCAGCACCCGAAAGCATCAGAACATCTTAAGATTTTTGTCAGGCTTCGCCAGTGAGACTGCGGTGCACTTGTCCTCCCCATTACAGCCACGCTCTGCTTGGTGAGCAAGACAGTTTACCTGAGGTGTCATTACAAAGTGGGAGAAAATTGTGATCATAAATCATCAATGTGAAAAATAAATGCAGCCGTTGGGATTGCGGGATTTCGGCCAAAGTTTTTGCCTTGCTATGAGCTATCCTGTAATCTAGCGCTAGCTTTCTGTCTTTCTCAGTTGCTGAAGTGCTGCTGCACGCTGCCAGGTTTCCAGAGGGTCACCATGGCAGTCAGACTGTCAACCCAACCCCGAAGAGCAAACAACAGCACAAGCAACAGTCTGGTTGTGAGTCTGTAAACATGACCTCATCCGTTTCAGAGAAATTTTAACTTTCTTCCCCATCCGAGGCGCAAACTTCCAGCTCCAAATGTTCAGACGTCAAAAACGCTAGACATTGTAAAATGTAATTTTGAAAAATGTGGAGTAATAAAACACATAGCCGCGGCCTTTGTGAGACAGATGATTAGCTAATTTCAAGTCATTCAGAGACAAAACTGGATGCATTTCTCTCGCTGTATACATTCAGCTGTGCTCTCTATTGGAGCCTCGCAGAACACGACCAAACTTTGTAACGCGGCAGATGAGCAGGAAGGAGTCTGTCCCTCTGTGCTGCATGCCACAGGACCTGAGGCAGTGTGAGGCACATCTAGACAACCAAAAGGCTTTTGTGATTAGCAAACGGCACTTCAGGAGAGCGGCGTTTAATAGCGTTGATTCCCAATGTGATTTCATCCAGTTGTTGCCTCTTCGTGCTATAGCAGCTTTATGTTTTGCTGTCAGAGAATCATTCACCTCTGCGTTCGGGGTCAGCCTCTCTTCGCTGCACAGCCCAGCTATAACCGTGCAGTTGCTATTTCTCGCCGCACGTTATTTTGTTTTAGGCCACTTCATTGGAAATAGTTAATTGGCCTTGGTGCCTGACGGCAGGGAAAATAACGCTCTTAAACTGCTTTAAGCTCCCATAAATATTTCACTCCATGCTAATTTCCGTGCTTCCAGCTGAGCACTCAAAAGAAATAGAAATAAAAATAATAATAATAAAAAAAAAAAAGGAAAACTTTGTATTTATTTATTTATTTAATTGTCACACTAATCACACGCCTAGGAAGCGGTGAGGTGCACGTAGCTTGCTGTAGCAGCAGCTTTGCGAAGCGTCTGCCACTCACCGAGACCCTTTTCCCCCTCCCGGTCGCCGGGAGCCCGCCCGAGGGGTCGGGGCCGTGCCGTGCCCGGCCGGGCCGGGCCGGGCCGTGCCTCAGCCGAGCCTGCAGCGACCTCAAGCGGGGGCTGCCGGCAGCCGGGGCCCAGCCTTGGGCTGTTCCCCCTTTCCAAATAGCTTGGTGAAG